AAAAAAGCCAGAAGTGGCGCTGTGGCTCAAGTGGTAGAGTACTAGCCTTGATCTGAAGAGCTGAGGGACAGTGCCCAGGCCCATAGTTCAGGCCCCACGACTGGACCAAAAAAAAAAAAAGAAATGGAGGGACAAACAGTGAACAAATGCAGCTATGGTACTCACTAAACCCTGTAGAAAACAAACTCTACAACTTGTAGGTGGGGGCAGGAGGGAAAAACTGGGAGAGAGCAAGGGAAGGGGTGACATTGTCCAAAAAGAAATAAACTCATTGCCTGACTTATGTAACTGTGATGCTCTGTACATTACCTTTATAATAACAATTTTGTAATATGTACCAAAAAGAAAAAGAAGCAATTGAGTAGGTATGAATTGTATGGAAGAGAAATAAACGCCTTCTTATCTGTCTTTCCAGTTCGAAACAAAGACATGAGTTGGCCTGAAGAGATGTCCTTTATAGCTAACAGTAGTAAAATAGATAGACACAAAGGTAAGTGTGTTTCTAGCCTATTCTTTTGTGTGTGTGTGTGTGTGTGTGTGCCAGTCTTAGGGTTTGAACTCCTGAATAGTTAGGATTATAGGCATGAGCTACTAGCACCTGGCCCATCTCATTTATAATCCAGAATAGTTTTTCGAAGTCATCTTGGGCTAAATATTCAGACCCTCTTTCAAAAAAATTGTGTGTGTACATGAGTGTGTGTGTATGTGTGTGTGTGAGTATACAAGTAACTTGGTTCTACAGCATATTGCTACATCTAGGCTTTGGTTCTCATATTATTATTTCTTTTTCAGTTCCCACAGAAAAGGGAGCCACAGGTCTGAGTAATCTGGGAAACACATGCTTCATGAATTCAAGCATCCAGTGTGTTAGTAACACACAGCCACTGACACAATACTTTATCTCAGGGAGACATCTTTATGAACTGAACAGGTACACTTTTTGGGGCCACTGGTAAATTGATTTATGATTTTTATCTGAGCCCGGTATCACCTTGATTTACTCTTTCTTTATCCTAGGAGAGAAAAATTTTATTACCCTGATTATTATGAAATAAGGACTAGGTATATTTCTCTTGTTTAAAAAAAGTAGTTATTTTTAAATGTGATACTCTATGCATTTCTGTGTCCACATGATTGTAATTTATGAGATTCTTTGGCAACAAATTTTCCTTTTGAACTTCTAGGACAAATCCCATTGGTATGAAGGGCCACATGGCCAAATGCTATGGTGATTTAGTACAGGAACTTTGGAGTGGAACTCAGAAGAACGTTGCCCCATTAAAGCTTCGGGTAAGCAGGTTAAAATAAAGGTATTCCTTAAACAGTTGTTTAAGTATTCATTTTTTACTACATGTTTTCTATGTGTAGCTTTTAGTTTAATCAATGTGTTAGGATCTTTCATTATGTATAAACAGATGCCCAGTATTCTTATTTATTTTAGATAAATATGAAATACTTCTTTTGTTGTTATTGGTGGTGGTCATGGGGCTTGAACTCTGGGCCTGGGTGCTGTCCCTGAGCTCTTCAGCTCAAGGCTAGAGCCATAGCTCCACTTCTGTTTTTCTGGTGTTTATTTGGAAATAAGAGTCTCATGGACTCTCCTAAACCACATTCCTAGCCCCAAATGCAGGGCTTCATGCATGTTAGGCAAGCACTCTACCACTAAACCACATTCCCAGCCCAAGAAACACCTTTTTAATAAGAAAAGAAAAAAAAAAGCTTTAAGAATCAGTTATAGGGCTGGGAATGTGGCTTAGTGGTAGAGTGCTTGCCTAGCATGCATGAAGCCCTGGGTTCGATTCTTCAGTACCACATAAACAGAAAAGGCTGAAAGTCGTGCTGTGGCTCAAGTAAGAGTGCTAGCCTTGAGCAAAAGAAGCTCATATACAGTGCCCAGGCCCTGGGTTTAATCCCAGGACTGTCAAACAACAACAACAACAAAAAGAAAAAAAAACTCAGTTTGTTTACATGCTAGTAAACTGCATGTTATACTAGCCAAAATTGCTTTGTTTTAGGTCATTTGAGATTAAGAATGTAAAGATTAAATGATTATACAAAATGTATGTCTCTGATAGAATTATGGAGTATGCTTATTCTAAATTTTCTGAGGTAGGAAATAATAACTGTTACTCCTCATATTTATAGTGGACCATAGCAAAATATGCTCCCAGGTTTAATGGATTCCAGCAACAAGACTCCCAGGAACTCCTGGCTTTTCTCTTGGATGGTCTTCATGAAGATCTCAACCGAGTACATGAGAAGCCATATGTGGAACTGAAGGACAGTGATGGCCGACCAGACTGGGAAGTAGCTGCAGAGGTTTGTCAGTTTTGAATTTCTGGTGCAAGCAACAAATAAAGTATTCTGCCTACAAATATATGTGATAAAACTTATGTCAAACTAAGCCATTCTATGATTAGAATTTTACTATGAAAGCAAAAGAATTTACATTTCTATGTCTAATTCTTTTTTTTTCTTTTCTTTTTTTTTTGTCAGTCATGGGCCTTGAACTCTAGGCCTGAGCGCTGGCCCTCAGCTCCTCAGCTCAAGGCTAGTGCTCTACCACTTGAGCTACAGTGCCACTTCCAGTTTTCTGGTGGTTTATTAGAAATAAGAGTTTCATGGACTTTCCTGCCTGAGCTGGCTTTTTTTTTTTTTTTTTTGGGTCCAGTAGTGGGGCCTGAACTCTGGGCCTGAGTGCTGTCCCTCAGCTCTTCAGCTCAAGGCTAGCACTCTACCACTTGAGCCACAGTGCCACTTCCGG